CCTCTGCTCAAATCACCTATCAAATATCCAATGTACATCAACCTTGTTAATTGTATATACTCACTATACAGCAATGTATATATTCTCCTTGTTACAAATTGTTGTATCACTTGCTTGATAATGGTGTTAGTACCTACACCGAAACGTCGCACTCATTGCAATAAAGAAGTTCACTATCCATAGAACTTAGTTTTCCTACAGCCATGTTGCATGTTAGGCGTAATGAACTAAGCACTCAAATTGCCGGCACATCCTTACGGGTACCCATTTTACAGCTGGGTGAACTGAGACAATGTGGATTTTAGTATCTTGTCCAAGGATACTACGCAAATGTGCCCACTTCGGGACCCGAACCTAGGTGCCTCAAGCGGGGATCGAACCCGGGCCTTCGTCGTGCTAGGCAGACGCCTTACCACTGCACTATTGCACTCCGCACAGTAATGTCTGTAAGGATATGGTGAAACACAATAGCAATTGACGAGAGAGGTCAACGAGTGTTTCTTTTTGAAGCTCAACTGTATGTTTTTCATTTAAACATTAAAACGACAGGTAAAATTCAGTTAACGCATGGAACATCAGGTAAAATGCAACATAACAGCAATCAAAGTTGCAATATAAATTTATTCTTAACTATTAATGCCAACACTCGAACACTACATTACCATGAGACTTAGCAGAACACATACTTACCATCAACACCAAAGTTGTTCATAGTCATTAAAACGCAAATGTTCAATTATGAATGAAAATGCTTAGTTTCCACGATGACGTCACGTGGATGCTGCAAACGAGAGTACCACATCCCAGGGGTTCAGTGGATGTAGGTATGGGCATCTTGGGTGCGCTGAAGTATTATGTAAATCAGTTAACATTGGCTGCCATTAGTCAACCAAAAAGTTGGTCAACTCTGGGTCACTTGGATGGTCCAGGATTTTAAAACTGAATATGCAATCAGTGAGTAAAGCAAACAGATGGAGAGAGGGGTCGAGTTCAGCTCTACTCCAGGGGCAACAACTTAACATATCTCCGAAAGTCATTCAGCACTAGCTAGTTATCGCGGACGGGGACGAGAAATCCTCACTGCAGGAGCCTAGCAAGTCCAAATTTCGTGGTTAGTGTATAACCTTCTGTATCAGATTTGAGAAAAGCCAGATAATTTTCTCAATCGACAGAAAAGTACAGCAAGCAGGAACACTCAAACTTTGTCGCATTTGTCTACCTTGATAACGGATACTGAGATCTTTCGTCCTCTCCAGGCTCGACTACTGCAATAGTCTTCTTGCAGGAGCATCTTCAGAGCTGATACATTGCCTACAGAGGATCCAGAACACAGCTGCCAGGATTGTAACCAGATCACCAAAGCACTGCCACATCAAACCGGTTCTTAGGTCCCTGCACTGGCTCCCAGTCCACAAGAGAATCCAGTTCAAATCCTACCAATGTGTCAATGGAACAGCGCCAAGCTATCTTAGTGAATTGGTCAGCGAGTACCATCCAGCCAGAAGACTCAGATCATATTCGCGACACAATCTTGTCATTCCACGGACAAAATTGAAAACCTTTCGATGTCGGTCATTCTCCAGCGTATCGGCACAACTCTGGAACGCTCTTCCAATGGAATTAAAAACTTCACCATCAGTGACCCAATTCAAACGTCAGTTCAAGACGTTCTTATTCAACTAGCACTTTGTGTTCCACCTGTGCTACTCTGACAAGCGCTCCGAGCATACATGTGTATGGAATTAAGCTCTATACAAGCAACCTTATTATTATTGTTAAACTGGCCTTATTCTGCAGTGACAAGCCACACTTCTATGTTAGGAACCTTTTCAGTCATAATAATGCACACTTTGAACTATAAATAGAGCAAGTCTACTTCCACACAAAAACAGAGTGTAAAGATGATAAATCTCCAGGATGGTATGTGTTCAGAGTTCTTAAAAATACATATTCAACTTCATATACTAGCATTCGTTTTATAACCAAAACTTTTTTTCAGGTTTCTGTTTTAATGTGAAGTCTTCAGTTTCTGTGGGTATTGGAAACACTTAATTTTACTTGATCGGCTGGTGTACGGCAAGGGTGTACTCTCGTTCCAATACTACTCAAGGGTTTGTAGTAAGTAAATACTGGAACAGAGTGGTTCTAGGTTACACGATCTTGTGCTCATATCAGGGGAAACAGACTACATACCTTCTTTACCATTTGCAGATGATATAATAGTTCCAGTAGAAGGTACTGCTTTTTAACTATACTTAACCTATGACATGACCCATTTCAATATGATGATACAGGCTAATTCGCGTTGTGTAGTACAATATGGTGTGCTACAACATCGCGCCTTTTGTGACATTGTACAATGGTGATGATGATACAGGCTACAATGGGTTATCGAAGCGCCTTGTGTGAGGTAGATCCATGCAAGAGATTAAATGCACGGTATAGTGTACAAAACAATACCTCTCATTTCAAAGATGCGCTTTCACAGAATACTTGGTTCAAGATAAAAATATATTATATTAATAATGATTCTGTATAAGTTCAGAGAGCTCTGTCATCATAGGTATATACTATTAAGCTTAAGATACAAGAAAAAGATTATGTAAAACACCGTTGTGTTGAACTTTGATGTGTGGAACTTCCGTTGGTTGAGAAGAAAGTGTTGGTCCCTGAGTATTTCGTAATAATTGTAGCGGTTGGGCTTGCAGCCGTATATGCTTGTCGGGATTACCTCCCTTTGACTATTTGTTGTTAGTCAAGATGTTCTAAATGTCTGTCGATCACCTCTCGTCTACTTTTACCTCTCACTACATTTATATATACAATTGAGGACGCAACAATAATCATCATTTCCTTTACTTATTGTAGTATTCCTATTTAAAACTGCGGGATATCACATCCAGGTAAGGTGTAGGCATCTCCAAGAGCATCATTTCTACTACCTGCTTGTTTGATCGTATGCAGATATATCCGAATTACTGCTCGGGCTGACAGAATCAAAACAAGACAAATTACCAAGACGTTTTAACTTCAGCGTCAAGTCTATCTATCGTCTTATATCGTATCACCTTATAATGGTAAAATAGCCAGTTCCCTTCCACGTTTTAACTCTTCTCAGCCAGAAAGATAATTGACCAGTGAAATTATCCTCCTTGTGGAGTTAACTCCCTTTGGCCAGGACCCAGTTGTGTGTCTTGCCGCTTCACTTGAACATTTCATGACAGACACATGGTATTATGACAGGAGAAAACTGCTAATGATCAGTCTTGTTGTATCAGTATGTCCCCAGAATATAGGTAGTTAGAGTAAATAGCACGTCTATGTAGCAGGTACTTGATCAGCCCCAGGTCTGCTGCAAGCAGCTTTAGTACCATTAAAGGATATTCTCAGGACAATGGTCATCTATCAACTGTCTTGTTATCCACTTTGAGTGAGCTGGGTTTTACGCCGCTTTTAGCAATATTCCAGCAATATCACGGCGGAGGACACCAGAAATGGGCTTCACACATTGTACCCATGTGGGGAATCGAACTCGGGTCTTCGGCGTGACGAACGAACGCTTTATCCCTACCCCACTGCCCCTGATCCAGTTTGAATAGTGGCTGAATACAATTCTCCAAAGAGATTCTTGTGGGTTTTTTTCTCGTCGTTTCTTTCCTGAACCGTAATGTATAGATCTATTTTATTGCTGATTAATGTTGGTAACTCAGTGAACGGAAACTGGCTGCTTGACCTTAAAAGGCATATAATAGTTATAGTGTATGCCATGCAATACTTTTGTTAATGTTTTGTGATTAAGATTAATCAATCTGCGTAGGTTCCATGATCTTAAAGGTTCTGTGGAACCGTTTGACCACACGTCGCTCACTAATAATTAACGTTCCGTCGTGATCCACACCAGGGACAAGCGCCGGAGGGACACGCTGCGTGACTTACTCCCTCATTATGTCTGTTTCAAATGTGGGCATTTGCTGATAGCTCCCTGAAACAGTTTTCAAAGATACGATTGTTTACAAAGAACCTTTTGGCATGTAAAAATACCTTAGGGTCAGGCCCTTTATGCCGGATTCTATGGTATATGGTGAATGTGGTAGATATCCACTACATATAGCTTCACAAATTAGATGCCTTCAATTCTGGTTAGAATTCTAAACATGCATGAACAACGTCTACCGAATATAGCCTAACATCGTAACATGGGCTTCACACATTCGAAACTTTTTATTCTCGTACGGTTATGGCATTGTCTGGTTGTCCCAGACAGCTGGCAATGTTAATGTTCGTATATTTTTATATGAATTCAGGGAACGCTCCATAATGGTTTTTTTCAAAATTGGAATTCTAATTTAAACGAAAGTAGACGATATGAATCTTACAGATTGTTTAAATGTCTTCTTGAACCCGACAAATACCGTTTCATACTAACCTCTTGAAAGTTACGTGACCTAGCTGTTAGATTCAGATTGGGTTTGTCATGATTAATGCTCAATGAAAGTAGGAAAATAGGGATTGATAAAAATGAAAGGATTTATATGTTGTGTAAAAGAGGTATAGAAAATGAAATCCACTTTGTCTTTACATGTCCTGCTCTTAATAACCTGAGAATTCTGTATGTACCAAACAAGTACTTAAGTAAACACCAGAACTTGCATTCTCTTCTTTTATGACCTCTAGTAATGATACTGATATTTTACACTTGTCATTATATACTCATGCCAATAATGGTTGTCACCCCCTTCAATGTTTTTAATAGGCTGGGGGGTGACAACCATTATTGGCATGAGTATATTTAAAACATGCTACAAGCTTAAGAAATAACGCATTGAACAATACTGTATGTCCAAAATAATGTACTGCTGCATGTGACATCTGACTGTGTGAATTACTGTATACATACTGTGTTTGGGCAGGAGGCCTAACATACAATAAACGTCTTTTTCTTCTTCTTCTTCTTCAGACTGGGTGAGTGGGTGTGACTCAATAAAATAGAAGTCAGTATGTTCGTGTATATAATTTAATCATGTATATGTTATTTAAAAAGGACATGCATACTTAAACATGAATGTGTATGTTGCATTAAGTATTAAGCAATACATTGTGAGAAAACAATACGTAAATCTTACAATGCATATATATGTGATAATACCACAGCTTTCTATTAATGCATATCTCCTCTTTATAAAGAAAACAATATTTCAAAATTTTCACAAACTTTACATATGACAATCGCATAAACCTGAAGCAGCACATGACTAAAATATTACCTTTGTTATGTCATATAATGTCTTTGTTATGTTCAGAAAACGTCAAAATCTCATTACAGCCATCTTGTAATACACAACAACCAGAGGTTTGTTAATAGACGCCACTCTCTGCAATATTACAGCTATATTACGGCAGGTTTTGAACTCATGGAATCTGGACTAAATGATCCAGTGATTAATGTTATTGACAACATCAGGGTACGATATCACACAAACAGCCACCAAGACGACCACCGATTCCATTTAGCAGCCTCTGGGAATCTCCACAGAGATGTTGTCATTTGTTTTAATACAAAGTTCAAAGAAGTCATTTTGAACCTTTAGTCCATTATACTCTTGAAACGAAGAACAAGCTGTTGTACTGGAATGCAAGAAATGCCTTTCGTGCATCTTCAACACAAATATTGAACACATTCTTGATGTCGTCGGAGAATGCTAAAAAAGCACTGTTGCAGTGCATGTCTGAAGAGTTCACAGTGTTTCAGGAAGACGTATTTAACAGTACATGTTCACGCTCGTAGGCTCCGGAAGCAAGACTTAACGGACGGAACCCATGTATATATCCCAAGAGAATCTTCGTTTGGGGGGAAGCAGAAAACACAATCCATGCCATCCACGACTAGGATATCATAATATATAAAAACATATGTATATTTATCAAATGTACATCAGGTTAACTGGGTCATTTATTCAGAGAAATGCCAGAAAACGTCATCATAAATCAAGGGTAGGGCGTGTCCTGAGAAAATTACAATTTGAGACAAGAAAACAAATGAAATCAGTATCTTTCCAGGAAAATACCTGCCTTGGTTACGTGAACTCACCTGCCGTTGTTTGGAGTTCACAGCGTCATCTACAACTTCATATGAAACAGCTATTGCTGTAATAATGTAGATGACGACAGACAGACATTCAATATAGGGGAGACACATTTTTCACAAATTATTTGTCGGAACATTCTGCACGTCCAGTTAATGTTACAGTATTTCAAATATTTACAAACGGAAAACGGTAACTGTGCTTTGACTTAATTTTCTTATTTATTTACAGGACGCTCATGCTGCTGTGCGGCGTCAAGCAATAAATGATTACTTCTGAAAATGGGTTAGTGCTACCGGAAGGACTAGACATTGTTAATCTATTTACGAACACCTTGATTTTCAGGGGTCCATTCATAGAATTGGCACATGTATTTTGCCTCATTGGCTGCATGGGATCTGTTTCTGAGGATAATCAACTCGGGGTATTTTCCGCAGAGACGTTTTAGGTAAAGAAAAATAAGTCCAATCGAAATATATACATTCTGAAATAAAACAATAGCATCTTCAGCTTTGCATGTTTGTCGTAAGAGACAACTAACGAGATCGGGTGGTCAGACTCACTGACTTGGTTGACACATGTCATCGTATGCCAATCATCATGCCAATCACTGGACTGTTTGGCAAACCAAATTACTTACAGACTGCTAAGCGTACAGCTGAAGGTCGTGATTCACAATTTGGATGTTGGTTGAGCACAGTAGTCAAACTCTTGGACAGCACACGATGATTGTCTAGCAATGATGTGCTCAGAAAACACTTTTTGTTTGACAATAAATGTCGCTGAAAAGCAACGTCGTGGTTATGTTGCCAACTAGAACAGAGCAAAGCGAAGTTGCCAGACATTTATGTTCATCAAGACATATTTACTTGGTCTATCGATCTACGGAATCGATATTTATCGGACATATTTACAGCAGGGGACATCCATGCGTTGAGACCAATTGGTGGAGGAACCACGCACAACCGGTTGAGGGAACACAACTTCCTGAACGACGCCAAGCAATACGACATAACGTTTTAGTGACGATTACTTGTCAGTTTGGATGTGGATGTGCAATGGTATGGGGCGCCTTTACAACTCATGGGGCAATACAGCTCGCCATAGTTAATAGCGCACTCTACCGTGACGGCATCGTCCGTCATGTTCTACCTTTTTGTGCAAATCTGGTCATGACACCTTACACCAGGATGATGCACACTCGCATACTGTACGTATTGTAAGAGGATTGTTAAAGGCTGCCTGTCATTAATGTACTGCCATGGACCTATGGACTGTTGTTAATCCAAACTTCTCCCCTATAAAACATGTCTGGGATATCCCCTATAAAACATGTCTTGGATAAGATGGAACTATGCCTATGACAGGACAAGAACTGACCGGAGGTAACGCAGTGTCATTTGGAGAATCTATGGTTGACATTTGGATCAACACCACACAGTTTTCAATCATCTGGTGTATTCGCCATTGTAAATCTTCAACAACGCAAACGGTGCTCACACCCAATATTGTAGTGACCCCAACCCTCTTTTAGGGTGTCTTTCTCCTGCTACTTGCTATTTTATCATTTAACTTGTTCTGATAAAACCTTGATGAAACAAATGACCAAATCTAATGGTATTTCAGTAACATAACATTATCACCACTATATGTGAAGCACAGTTACCTTTTTCCGTTTCTATACCTGCTATTCCAGCCACAAACTATTCAATGGTCTCCGCTTGGCATTTCGTTACCTCCATTTACTAGTAATCTTTTCCTTCCACATAGGACAAAGACACATATTGAACGCAGGTAATTCTATTTACTTTCATCACTGGTCATGTGATGAGTCGTTCTCCCAGGATTACACCAGTGTGGCCGTGTGTGGCACAACAACCCAGATCGTGAGGATGGTAGTGATGGACGCCCACAGGTGGAAGAGGGGTGAGGGTGTACCAGCGGTCTGCATCATGGAATCTGTTGGAGACAGGAAGATATTATATCACTGGTTCGTCTCTTTAATCAAACGTTCACTATGTCATACACATCTGACACCACACAGATTACACCCATTATAACAATAACATTATCATCATATAAGTTCAATAGGTCAGTATTTCGATATGCTTATTATAGTATTAGTGTACATTTACTTGGGGTACTTACTTATCACCGTGTAATAACGAGGGGAATTTGTGACATTCATCGGAATAAAAATATATCCGCGCTTTTTGTTTTCCACTTTTCGAGGGACACTTGTGACATTCATTGTCACCTTTGTAGCGCATGTGTGTCGTCAGATATATTACAGACACGAATGCACAAAAGAAAATAGATACAAGATTTACCTTTGTCACATCTTGATATATTCACGTTCTCATGTGTCCATCCAACTTTGCATTCATCACATTCTCCAGTTTCTGGATCACAGGTTTGGTTGAAACATCCAACAGAGCACATCTGCTGACAGTTTTCCCCATAAGTACCTGGGAGGCATACTGCAAGGAGATGAATGTAGACAGCATGTTGGAAACCTTGAAGCAAGAACCACTTGGTCCACCACTACGTTGAGCATTAGAAACATTACAGTTAGAGAAGCAAGCACGTTGATCTACCACTTGGTCCACCACTATGTTGAACATTAGGAACATTACAGTTAGAGAAGCAAGCACGTTGATCTACCACTTGGTCCACCACTATGTTGAGCATTAGGAACATTACAGTTAGAGAAGCAAGCACGTTGATCTACCACTTGGTCCACCACTATGTTGAGCATTAGGAACATTACAGTTAGAGAAGCAAGCACGTTGATCTACCACTAGGTCCACCACTATGTTGAGCATTAGGAACATTACAGTTAGAGAAGCAAGCAAGTTGATCTACCACTAGGTCCACCACTATGTTGAGCATTAGGAACATTACAGTTAGAGAAGCAAGCACGTTGATCTACTACTAGGTCCACCACTATGTTGAGCATTAGGAACATTACAGTTAGAGAAGCAAGCACGTTGATCTACCACTAGGTCCACCACTATGTTGAGCATTAGGAACATTACAGTTAGAGAAGCAAGCACGTTGATCTACCACTAGGTCCACCACTATGTTGAGCATTAGGAACATTACAGTTAGAGAAGCAAGCACGTTGATCTACCACTAGGTCCACCACTATGTTGAGCATTAGGAACATTACAGTTGAGCATTAGGGAACATTACAGTTAGAGAAGCAAGCGTTGATCCACCACTTGGTCCACCACTGTGATGAGCATTAGGAACATTACAGTTGATCCACCAAGGAATATTAAAGTTAGATGATGTAAAAGTCCTTATCTTGATGTTCATAACTGTTTGCAATGCTAATGATGATCATGTATTAGTGAGTGAGTTTAGTCTTACGCCGCTTTTCAGCGATATTCCAGCAATATCACGGTGCGGGACATCAGAAATGGGTTTCACACATTGTACCAATGTGGGGAATCGAACGAGCGAACGCTTTAACCACTAAGCTACTCCGCATGTAAGTCTCTGGACCACAGTATTTACTCAAAATGTATTGACATGTCTTTTTGCGTTATATTCAGTGTGGGGTAAATGAACCGTTGAATGTTGGCTTCATTGATGTAAAATACACATGCAGCTTTAATTCTGTGATGTGGCACATTCCTACCTGTGTCACAGTTTTCTCCATCCCACCCTTCCATGCAGCTGGACCCACAGTTTCCATCAGCAGGGTCACACTGGTCAGGTTGGCATCCTTCGTTGCACTCATACATACAGTTCAGGCCGTAGAGGCCGGGCTCGCACCCTGTCGAGATCAGAGATATACAACTCAGATTTGTAGTTCCAATATACTACAGACTGTAAGGAAAAATAGTCACAGGTTTTGAAAACAGATGAACAAAAGTTACACCGTTTTGTTTGTTTACCTTGGTGGGATGATACGCTTAGGGCAGGACACGCATGTCCTTTCTGCAGCAAATGATGCCGTGGTGATTGTCATAGTCATTTCCTACATTTTCCATTGGGTGTTTTGCCCAAATGGAATCAGATTCGATAATCGAGACGTTATTCTCCTGCATTGCCGTTTTTATTACATATTCTTCAAACAAACTGAAAACTTCATTCATAATTTACAATTTAAATCATTGGGAGATATATCCATGTTATGGAGTAAAAATCGAGTTTATCATGTTCTTAATGAATGTTTTGAGACCGCATCACCGCGTGCACTTCCTTATGACCATAGTTGTCTGTACAGTAATCGCTCATAAAATATGATTGGTGTATGACGTGAAATGTGTACGAGTTTTATTTTCAAACAAAAAACGCCTAGAAACAAACACTTACAACTGTGTGATGCAAGATGATTGTCACAATAAAATGGTCTCGACCTTCTTGAAACTCGTCAAAAGCATGAATGACACCCTTGCACGTGCATCCCATGCGTTGTGTTTAGGGGTAGTGATAAAAAGAAATGGTGGTGAGTTCATAAGATTTCTGTCTTTGAAAAGTTTGTTAACGCTTATACTTCGTTAACGCTTATACTTCCCATCAAAACTGAAAGTTCAGGTTACCTACATTTTAAGAGTATAAATGTACACGATAATGTCCTTGTATTAATATATTTCGTCTTTTCTATCCGTACTGTACGGTTCGTTATAACATAGTGTCTGATACCACTACGGCCAAACAACATCACAATAAAATTAGCATTATTTAATATTTTGTCATCTTGGATTCTTGGTCCACCATCATAAGTTTACGTGTGATCTGTGGGAATGATCGGCCTTAGTATGGTGATCTTCCTTCAGTTGTTGGCGACCTATAGCCCATTTTTACATTGTATTGTCTTCTTTAATTGGAATATTTTACCTTTGTTCGCTAGTTTTATATTCATATCTGTGATTATCTAGTATTTTTACTGTCCTTCGTCGGCAGGTTTTTATAATATCTATATATATTCTATTTCAATGTCAAATGTTCTCGTCACGATATGGCTGAAATATTGACGATGTGACGTTAAATAGTAACTCACTCACTCACTGTGGGAATGATCAGAATTATTTAAGAAAATGTACCAATAGTTATCGTGTCAGAATATATTCCTGACACATTAAGGATATGTTAACATTGTTTTGTTTGAGTGGCACTCTAGACGTTGGTGGTATAGAGATGACAAACCGTTATGGATGATCAACTTCTTTATTTTCACAGTCGCGACGGTATAGCGTCTTATACCGGTTTCACGTATATGAGGGAATGATGGGGAAATGTTTTGTCATTTCCATGTTAACATTATTGGTCGAAAACTGGAAAATGGACGTAAACTGCGTTTCTTTTGCGTTTTCAGATCTTCTTAATTTGAAGATATCTGTATCACTTACTGTGCTCGCATTTGAAATCATTCCAGCCCGGCAGGCACGCGTCACAGGTGCCATCAACTCGGTCACAGGTCTTGTTGACGCACCCAGCAGAGCAGTTCAGCCTACAGTCTTCTCCGTAAGTTCCAGACGGACAGACTGGTGTGACAAATGAGGAATGTTACACTTTGGAGACACCATGCTTAGGATGTAACATTTGTGGATAAAAGTCAGATGGATGTTGATGAAGAATTATTCCTTTAACTATTCCTGTTCGTCTGCAATACCTGTATGGGGGCAGGTAATATTATGTCATGGAGACATAATTGAAAGCAACTGAGAGGTCAAATTGCCCATAATATCAGATGATAAAATACTACATGCGTCTCAGATGGTATCTACCAAATCTGAGAACTACATACAGCCAAATCCTTAATTTGATTCAAAAGTTGTGAAATATGCAATATTTATCCTTACTGTAATTAATAAATATACTTCATACCCTTGTTGTCTACCTCAACAGGACGACATAGCAATGTTTTGTACCTTATAAATGTTACATATAGGTAACTATCTTAGTTCACATTGAACTATAATAGCTGACTGCACAACATTCTAATGCATTGTGTTCCAGCTTGACTCTGCCCCTGGCTTTCCCAGATCAGCAGAGAGATTAAAGACTGATGTTTGTGTCGAGTACAAACGCAGTAGGATTTAGAAACAATCGACCACAGTCAACATCTTTATCCTATCCAGTAAAAACCTGTTTCTACCCGTGAAGATCAGGGTTAGAATTGGTCTTCAGTAACCCATGCTTTCGTAAGAGGCGACTAACGGGATCGGGTGGTAAGGCTCGCTGACTTGGTTGGCACATGTCATCGTATCCCAATTGCGTAGATCGATGCTCATGATGCTGATCACTGGATTGTCTGGTCCAGATCCGATTATTACTGACCGCCTCCATATAGCTGGAATATTGCTGAGTGCGGTTTAAACAACAAATAAACAAACTGAGCAATACCTGTTTCACAACGTTCTCCCATCCAGCCGTCCAAGCATGATCCACAATTGCCATCAGTAGAGTTGCATGTGTCAGGCAGGCATCCTGTGCTGCACCTGTTCTTGCAGTCTTGGCCATAGGTACCGGAGTAACACCCTGCAGAGAAAACGACCGCATGACATGCACACTGTCTGTGAATGACTTTCACTGGCCGAAAGTCAATATCGTCATCTTTATCCATGATATTCAGTGGATTCACTCTGCTGGGTAAATAAAGGCAACATACTTTATGCATGACAACTTCGCTATTATATTGCGATGCGACGTTTCCGTATTGACTCTTATTTCGTTGCTAAGCAAGAGATCACTGCAACGGAATCTATAATCTTAACAACGGTATAAGTGAGTGAGTGAGTGAGTATTGGTTTTACGCAGCTTGTAGCAATATTCCCGCTATATCACGTCGGGGGACACCAGAAATGGGCTTCACACATAGTACTTGTTGGGAATCGAACCCGGGTCTTTCGGGTGACGAGCAAACGCTTTAACAACTAGGCTACCCCACCGCCCCGACAACGGTGTAAGAAAATATAACCCAGTTCATATGTACTGGGGGCATGCCAATTTCTTTCTGAGAGAAGTCAAACAATCATTTCGGGAACAACTCCGTATTATGTCAAAGAAGGATCAGCAGGTCAAGAGAACGGTTTTATTCTGGGGTATATCGTAAGAACAAATTAATAAAACCGCCATTTTAGGGTTCTGAATAGTTTTTGCTAGAAAAGCCAATCCAGACCATCCTTCAGCACTACTTACGTCTGTTACACCTGGGAACGCTCCACCTCTCGTTCCTCCAGCCTGGCAGACAGGTGTCACAGCTGCCATCAAATCGGTCACAGGTCTGGTTGACACACCCGGCAGAGCAGTTCAGCCCACAGTCTTCTCCGTATGTACCAGGTAGGCAGACTGGTGAGAAAACAATGAAGAAATCAATTTGCTGAGAAGGAAGCATATACGTTTCTACAAGGAAAACCAAGTTCTGTGGATTGTCAACTTCTTTTTGGCAGTGAGTGCACATTTATTGCAATAACGAAGTTGACTATCCATAAAACTTGGTTTTCCTTCAACTTCTACAAATGCCTCTCAAAGAAGTTATACGTTTCTAATTTGTAAGTTAAAATCCTTGCCTGAGTTCATCATTTCCTGTTAAGATTATTAGTTTTGAATTTAATTATCACATTATTCGGTTCTGACTGATCAATGAGAGGTATCAATTCCCAATAATAACTGATGGAAACAACTGCTGAAGCAAATGCTATTATTCAAAAGTAAAGGATGATCAATAAACAGTAGTCATAACTAACTGACATTTCAGATCTTTGTGAGATAAATAATTTAACAGTTTAAAAGGGACATCTGACTTCTGGACATCTGGAGATTTGCATGTTTCGTTGAGCGTCAGATGTCCATAGATTTTGTTAGATGAGTAGCCAAAGCGCCCTACTGTCCATCGCGTCATTGACCATGAAAAGTATTAAAATCGCATGAATCTGCCTCTATTCTCAAGACAATCACGGTTTCGACGAGGCATACTTCTAATTTAAACGTCCAATGTCAACCTGATTAATTGCATCCCCTTCTTCCTGTGTGAGTGCTCGAGTCTTTACAGTTCCAAAATATAAGTATAAGTCACAATTGGTAAAAGAACCTTCGCCTACGCTGCCTCAACCTTATGGAATAAGATGTCTACATCCCTCAAAATAGCTGAAACCTGCCTTCCTTCAAAAATTTCAAAAGACATTTCTCTAACAGTCACCTTGTCTGAACAGCGCTCAGAGCATACTACTGTGTGAATAGAAGAGGTAAAAGTGCAATATTATATTTATTATTACTGAGCCACGTTCGTTCTGTCTAACGTTGACGGCATGTTAACTCTCACTCCTTCCACGTCGCAGTCCAATCCGCCTGTGAAGGAAGTCAAGAGTAAACCTTGATTCATCCGAAAACATAACGTATGTCACACAACTATTAGTCCAGGGCGTCGCTCCTGTCACTATCACGCCTTGTAATGAGACGGTCCTTCCATAGAGGATAACACGTGGACGTCAAGCATGGAGGTTCCATCTGTGTAGTCGATTTCAAATAGTCTGTCCACTCACTCTAACACCTGTAGCTGTGTGACACTCATCTCCAATTTGAGAGGTACTTTCACCACGAATTCACAAACATTCTTGCGATTCTTGTCGCCCTTGGTCTACAGATCGAAGATTGGATTTGGGGTTTTTGTTTTACGCCGCACTCAGCAATATTCCAGCTATATGGCGGTGGTCTGTAAATAATCGAGTCTGGACCAGACAGTCCAGTGATCAGCATCATCAGCATCGATCTACGCAATTGGGATACGATGACATGTGTCAACCAAATCAGCGAGCCTGACCACCCGATCCTACCCTGATCGATGTCTGTCAACGGTATGTGTCGATATCGTGATTGTAATCCGCTAACTACTGACTGTGAAACGGTCAGAGCGCTTGTCACAATGCTCCGTCTTGCTCCAACTTCCAACATGCCAATGTCAAAAAACGTATTATTGAGGTTTTATTACATAAATGTACAGTAACACACTGACACGTTTGACTGTAAATTTAGAAATTTACCAAAACCATGATCACGTGCACATCATGAAAAACGCATCATTTCTATGCATCTCATTAATTCAATACAATCCTATGCATCATATCATTACAATGCAATCCTATACATGTGTTAATTCAATACAATCCTATGCATGTATTAATTCAATACAATCATATGTATTAATTCAATACAATCCTATGCATGTATTAATTCAATACAATCATATGCATGTATGAATTCAACACAATCCGATGCATCGTATTATCGCATGCATGTATGAATTCAATACAATCCTGTGCATCGTATTAATTCAATGCAATCATATGCATCGTATTTATTCAATACAATCCTATGTATTAATTCAATACAATCCTATGCTTGTATTAATTCCGCACGTGTTTCACAAGTTTCTCCACTCCAGCCGTCTCTACATGCTGAGCAATGTCCATCAACATGGTTGCATCTGTCGGGCCTACATCCCTCCTTGCACTTGTACTTGCAGTCCTGGCCATAAGTACCGTCTGCGCAATCTGGATTGAACGTCAGAGATGTCACACATGTAGCTTACACACATCTAATTATATATATCCAGAGCTGTAAACTCTTTGCACTACTCATTTGTAAAAAAGCCCAAATGTCAAAACAAAAGACCAATGATTTAGTGAAACATAATCTCTATATCCCACCGACATGCTCGTCCTACCTAGAGTCATCCCCGCAAATTACAGTCCGTTTGATTCTATTTGAGACCGATGAATTGTTCACTAACACAAAATCTAATAAGTACAACAAAAAACAGTCACATGAAATCGACAGACAAACTCTGATGATTGTGTCATAATTGGTGTGCCCACGCTTGGTGATTACCTAGCCCCCATTGTAAAAAAAATAGCGAAAGAGACTACAAAATAATGATCATTTGTTAAACAACTTTTTTTATTCGGCTGTCCAATATTATAAGACAAATCATCAGATTTGGTCTGCCGATTTTAAGTGACTGTGCAAAATTTGATTTTGTTGCAGCTATTAGATTTCGTACTAGTGAGCGATCCATCGGTCTCAAATGCAATGAAACGGACTATATCCGCCCATGAGTTTCATAAACATTCCCCGCCCATGTAAACGTCACCATACAGGGAAAAGGGGAAGGGAGGTAACTCGTATTACCTAGACACCAAATCCCTCGTCATGGGTCTCTTACTCAGGTTGCGCCTCTTATACACATAGTGTTATTTGTTTGAATCCAAAATGCAGCCTCTATTCGTATCAAATATCAAATGTATTACATGAAAACTGTTAAAGCTGTGCTATACGATATTTCAAACTTGGACTCAAGACATATCTCGTAATGTAAGATAAGAAACAGTCATAATGTTGACATTCTACTTACATGACGAACAGAGGTCCGTTTTCCAGCCTGCCTTACAGGTACAGTTGCCGTCGACTTTGTCGCACGCGTCCACACACCCCTTTCCGCACTTGTAGCGACAGCTTGGTCCATAATGGCCCTCCGAACAGTCTGATACATCAGCCATTGTTAACAAACTACACGTATAATAACATTACAAAATATTGTTACAAGGGCTATGTAAACGCTGAACATGTAAGTTTATTATTTCCAAACATTATCAATAGTGTGCAATACATATTGTGAACATACAAAATCTCACCCAAATGATTTTTTGACAAATATATCAAGAAAATTTTATAAAGGGTGGCAATCTGGGTCTTGCTTGCCCAGGAGAGTTTTCAACTGTTATCGACGAGAGTTGACGCATCTGGTATCATAGGATTTTATCATTCTTCCATTTTATTTTAGTCTATAAACAGAAATAAACACTGTCAGTGTTTTGAATGTAAATTGAAGAGCCAACCAGCTTCAGTGGACAGATCAGTGATTTGATTGTGTCAAAATACTTATATACTATCAATACTTAATTGATTGTAATACTTGAACTCGTTTTATTCCTCAGTGAATCAATGAATGAAACGGATTAGCTTTGACGATGATGTCACTTAGGGATTGTGGAGTACCGCTAACCAGAGTACGCACCCCAGGGTATAACAGGTATGCGCTACTTAGGTTAACTAGGTATGACGTCAGTCGCGGTATAAATGTTAACCTGGGTTACGCCGTTATCAGCAGGGTTTGTCTGGGACATCCTGGGTTTCTAAAACGAACCCAATCCCAACAATACTTAAGATATTACAATGTCAAAGCCGCAGCTCTGGTAAAAGCAAAGAGGAAAACGACGTTTAAAGGTAGTCGAGGAGAAATAAGGAAGAGGCTATCGCCTAACATCCTAACTTCGAATTGTCGAAAAAAAGAAGTTCTTCATATGGGCAATATATATTTGATGGGCGCAATATCATATGTACAGTTACTGACGCAGAGTATAAAATTTCAGTTTATACTTCAAATCTATCTATCTATAAAAACAAATCGAGCATCAGAAATAAGGAGCCTGCTATTATCTTGTGGATTCTCACATGTACGGTTTTCTCAGGACGTCGGAAATGAAAATAGGTCTATTTATCAACTGAAGCAACGTTTATCTGATGTATATGCTCAAACATGGCAGGATGAAATTTCAAACTCACTATGTCTAGCTCATTTCAAGACTTTAGATACATCCCCTCTACAGCCAGAATTCTACATTAAACATGTGGAAGATAAAAACCTCCGACGAGTGCTATGCAAATTTAGGATATCTCTGCACGATTTTAAAATATATATTGCAAGGAAGAGTAAAAATGTTGAAAATGTTAATATTATTTGTACAGTTTGTAATGGTTACAGCATCGAGGATGAATTTCATCTCTAAAGGATTCCAGTTTACGAATGAAGTTGATGTCCATATTAAATCAAAAATATGTATACAATGATAAACCTTTTAAACTATAAAAATGTAAATACCCTTAAGTCCGGTGCAGTATTCCTGTAACAAGTTTTTCGTTTAAGATCTATCATGCGCCTACACACACACAAACATATATATATGTGTGTGTGTGTGTGTGTGTGTGTGTGTGTGTGTGTGTGTGTGTGTGTGTGTGTGTGTGTGTGTGTTCTCTCAAATAACTCTACTCTACTCAAATAACTGTACTCTAGGCTATATGGCCATACTTGTGAATAAACGATTGACTGATTGATTGATTGATTGAATATTCATAATAATGTCCCACAGACATTAATTCAACTGGATTATGAAATAAACATTCAACGTTCTCAAACTATCTGGAATTATTCATGGAAAGAAAACAATTCCATTCCGATGAATAAACGGTTGGTACTAGAGTTGACAAGTATGGCAGGAAATTGTTATCAGTTTAAACCCTTATTCCAAGGTTAGACAAACAAAACACGTTGTCCATCTTAAAGACTGGTTGCCCTATAATGTCAGCTTATCTTTATTCTATTTACAAAGATAGAATTTCTCGCCATCTTGGACATATCATTGAGAACAGCCTTGACTCAAGGTTACTGTGTATCTACGTACATGCTTGACAGGTCATTCCAAACCAGCCACGTTTACAGTTGCAATAGCCCGTCGCGGTGTCGCATGGGGCGTCACATCCTGACCCACACTGTCCTCTACACAAGGGCCCCGCCCAGTAGGGCTTACAGGTACAACTGCCGTCAACGTTGCTGCATGTGTCGTTACAGCCCTCACTACACCGTTTCCTGCAGCCGTTCCCGTAACGCCCAGCCTCACAACCTTAAATGAAAAAATGAACTAACAAGTACGAGTTTGGGCATTCCCCGCTTGGGGAGTTGTGTCAGCTCATATTGTAGAAAGCTAGTAATAAGTATTTCCTACATCAAACAAGATGTAAGTGCCCATGTGAAAACAATAGAACTTTATGAGATTTTCAATGACTTCATTCTGAGTTCCATTTGAAACGGAGAGCGTGAGTATGGTTTTACGCCGCTTTTAGAAATATTCAAGCAATATCATGGCGGGGGACACCAGAAATGGGCTTCACACATTGTACCCTTTATGTATGTGAGGACCTGAACTCGTGTCTTTGGCGTGACGAGCGAACGCTTTAACCACTAGGCTACCCCACCGCCCCGTTTGAAACGGAAAGTGTGCATGTAAAACACAGGCGAATAAGATAATATTAACAGAAACACATGACGTTTCATTTTCGGGACGAGTCAATTTATAAAAAAACTACATACCAGTTGAGCAATGATCCCCTAGCCATCCATCCTTGCAACTGCAAGTGCCGGTAATATGATGACAGGTATCTCTACACCTCTCGGAGCACTGTTTGCTGCAAGAAGCTCCGTAGGTCCCAGCCTCACATTCTGGAAAACATCAGATGTACATGATTCGCAGTGTGTCATACCTAAAGCACATTCTTGCAAAACATCAGATGTACGTGATTCGCAGTGTGTCATACCTAAAGCACATTCTTGCAAAACATCAGATGTACGTGATTCGCAGTGTGTCATACCTAACGCACATTCTTGCAAAACATCAGATGTACGTGATTGGCAGTGTGTCATACCTAAAGCATATTCTTGCAAAACATCAGATGTACGTGATTCGCAGTGTGTCATACCTAAAGCACATTCTTGCAAAACATCAGATGTACGTGATTCGCAGTGTGTCATACCAAAAGCACATTCGTGCAAAACATCAGATGTACGTGATTCGCAGTGTGTCATACCTAAAGCATATTCTTGCAAAACATCAGATGTACGTGATTCGCAGTGTGTCATACCTAAAGCACATTCTTGCAAAACATCAGATGTACGTGATTCGCAGTGTGTCATACCAAAAGCACATTCGTGCAAAACATCAGATGTACGTGATTCGCAGTGTGTCATACCTAAAGCATATTCTTGCAAAACATCAGATGTACGTGATTCGCAGTGTGTCATACCAAAGCACATTCGATGCAAAACATCAGATGTACGTGATTCGCAGTGTGTCATACCTAAAGCACATTCTTGCAAAACATCAGATGTACGATATTCGCAGTGTGTCATACCTAAAGCATATTCTTGCAAAACATCAGATGTACGTGATTCGCAGTGTGTCATACCTAAAGCACATTCTTGCAAAACATCAGATGTACGTGATTCGCAGTGTGTCATACCAAAAGCACATTCGTGCAAAACATCAGATGTACGTGATTCGCAGTGTGTCATACCTAAAGCATATTCTTGCAAAACATCAGATGTACGTGATTCGCAGTGTGTCATACCTAAAGCACATTCTTGCAAAACATCAGATGTACGTGATTCGCAGTGTGTCATACCAAAAGCACATTCGTGCAAAACATCAGATGTACGTGATTCGCAGTGTGTCATACCTAAAGCATATTCTTGCAAAACATCAGATGTACGTGATTCGCAGTGTGTCATACCAAAAGCACATTCGTGCAAAACATCAGATGTACGTGATTCGCAGTGTGTCATACCTAAAGCACATTCTTGCAAAACATCAGATGTACGTGATTCGCAGTGTGTCATACCTAAAGCATATTCTTGCAAACATCAGATGTATGTGATTCGCAGTGAGTGATACCTAACGCACATTCTTGCAAAACATCAGATTATATGCATACATGCATACATACATACATACATACATACATACATACATACATACATACATACATACATACATACATACATACATACATACATACATACATACATACATACATACATACATACATACATACATACATACATACATAGGTTGCCGGAGATCCCATCTAACGCCTCTTACAGCAAGCATAGGTTGCCGGAGGTCCCTTCGAGCATGGGTAGTCACGGGGTGTCACTGTTTTCGGGGAATGAGTGAGTGAGTGAGTGAGTTTAGCGGTCAACAGCATGTGCATCGATCGATTAAGGCATACGATGGCATGTGTCAGCGAACCTGACCACCCGATCCCGTTAGTCGCCTCCTACGACAAGCGTGGGTTGTTGAAGATCAGTTCTAACCCGGCTCTTCACGGATTTCACTGTATGGAGTTACAGAGATTTATTTGTAAACTGTTGTACACTATATACTTCGTAAAACTGATACAAAAGGGTTAGATATCTTACTTTGGTCACACGCATGATGGTTAGGATCGGAATCCCTCCAGCCAGGACTACAGGTTTTGCGACGGCATTTTCCAGTTACTGGGTGACATTTGGTCTGTTGACATCCATAGGAACACCTCTTCTTACACCCCAAGCCATACCAGCCTCGAAGACATTCTACGAAACAGGGAGAGTGCATGAGTGAGTGAGTTTAGCTTTACACCGCACTCAGCAATATTCCAGCTACATGGCGGCGGTCTGTAAATAGTCGAGTCTGGACCAGACAACTAGTGATCAACCGCATGAGCTTCGATCCACGCAACTGGGATACGATGACATGTGCAGACCAACATAGCGAGCCTGACCATCCGATCCCGTTAGTCGCCTCTTACGACAAGGATGGGTTATTGAAGATCAATTCCAACCCGGATCTTCACGGGTCAGAAAGTGCACGAAGTCCACAGGTCCATATTACCATTGCCATACGAAAAAATGAGTACGGATTTTACAATGATTATCTGAATTGATACCTCGAGATAAAAGGTCGAAGCGAGTACATGAAATCTCATGCACTCCAGGAGTGACACGGTAAGAAGTGATCATTACCAGATCATTGATTATAATAAGAGTAAGTGAGTGAGTGAGTGAGTATGGTTTTACGCCGCTTTTAGCAATATTCCAGCAATATCGCGGCGGGGGACACCGGAAATGGGCTTCACACATTGTACCCATGTGGGGAATCGAACCCGGGTCATCGGCGTGACGAGCGAACGCTCTAACCACTAGGCTACCCCACCGTCCCGATTATTATAAGAGACTTATAGGGAACTATATTTGTTATGTTCAAGATACAGTCGGATTCGTACAGAACTATAATGAATATTGAACGAGTGTTGTCGTTTACATTTCCTTGAAAATATGCGATCTTTCTTAAAACCGACTAAAGTTTCGGTTTGGTAACTCACAATGTGATTACATTCAGTTATGACGCCCTATGAAAGACGATAACTGTAACGATGACAAACACATGTATGTTGTATCCTTCGAGACAACGGCTGTCCAATCAGATAGCTGGAGTTTATTACGAGTATATATAGGACATTAACTTTAATTTCGTAATAATAAATGACGACATATACTGTATGGTGTTACAGACTTATCCATTTGAGCACATGACGAACCACATGCTGAGCCAGATCATGCAGCTTGAAGCATAATTTATGCATGTAGGTGGGGAAAGGGGTCTTGCGTCCACATGTGTTTTGCTTTGTATTTTGGTTGTTGTTTTTAAACGGTTGTGGATTTCTTAATAGGAAATACAATCATAAAATGCCACTACACCTTGTTACAGACTACAACAGGTGCTCGGTGAAATTTCCGTGTTATCTTTGATTTCCAATTTTATCTTTAGGTGTCCTTTAGGACCCATAAACAACAGTACATTATTCATGCCAAGAATAAAATGCCGATGTGACGAATCGCAAGACCAGTGAAGAACGAGGCTTGGTTTATTTGACGATAAAACATTGTGCTGGCATGACATCATATCTAGAAGTTCGATCGTACGCCCACAGCGTGATGAGTTCCCAATTGGTCGACGTATTTTAAGATTTTTCGGAGTACGTTGGGGGATAAAGGTTAAGCACTAGGTTTTCGTTCTTTTGGTGCTGGTTCGGATATTCGGGAAATATCAAACTTAAAACCGCCCTCTTTCATAAAATGGACTTGCCCTACATGGCCGAAATTGGATAGTACTATTATCTATATACGGGTAAATGTTTCAAAGCTTGTACATTTCTGTAACATCATGAAAGACGCTGTAGATAATATTTATAATCCACATAAGAAATAAACGACTCGTGGTCGTTGTTTATGTACACTAAAACACCACAGGCTGCGCCCAGGCTGTATATTTTGTCTGCGGTTATTTATTGTACGACTAACGGCTCCCCACTCGCGATCTATTTCTGAAAGAAACAAGCAGTTTCTGAAACACTGCCTTGTTGTACACACAGCCTTGTTATACACACAGCCAACACTGTCCGTCTTGTTCAGTATATTTAGCGACGCTCCTGTTGAATTTGTTTGTTGTTTAACGCCGCACTCTGCAATATTCCATATCCCAGCTACATGGTGGCGGTCTGTAAATAATCGAGTCTAGAAAAGGCAATCCAGTGATCAATATCATGAGTACCTATCTGTGCATACGATGAGATACGCCAACCAAGTAAGTCAGACCACTCGTTTGTCGACTCTTCCGACAAGCATGGGTTGCTGAAACCACTCCGATCTTCACAGGTCGCTATTGGCTGTGATTTATTGCATTAGAAGTAGCTGTTTCAAACGAGGATCTGTAAAATGTCGCTTTTTATCTATACTTTGTACATGAGTATACACGGCGACTCAGATAGATATCAAATACACATAAAATCCAATGTCAAGGTGGTGGTATATCTCTGTCGGAAAGAATTGTATGGACTACTTTAGCAGCAGACTCAATGAAGACATTGAAGAATCCTGATGCAGTACCATATTTGGATGTTGAGACAGCCTTGTTTATGGAACCTACTTTGGAGTCGGTCTTCGCCGCTCTGAATGACTATGAGTAACATATTTGCGTTAGAAACGACCTTGTTCACGGAACCTACTTTTGAACAGGTCCTACCCTTTGTTGAATGAACAGGTCCTACCCTTTGTTGAATGATTACGGGTACCACAGGTGAACATTAGAGACGGCCTTGTTCATGGAACCTACTTTTTGAACAGGTCCCACCCTTTGTTGAATGATTACGAGTACCATAGTTGCACATTAGAGACGGCCTTGTTCATGGAACCTACTTTTTGAAGGGTCCCACCCTTTGTTGAATGATTACGAGTACCATAGTTGCACATTAGAGACGGCCTTGTTCATGGAACCTACTTTTTGAACAGGTCCCACCCTTTGTTGAATGATTACGAGTACCATAGTTGCACATTAGAGACGGCCTTGTTCATGGAACCTACTTTTTGAACAGGTCCCACCCTTTGTTGAATGATTACGAGTACCATAGTTGCACATTAGAGACGGCCTTGTTCATGGAACCTACTTTTTGAACAGGTCCCACCCTTTGTTGAATGATTACGAGTACCATAGTTGCACATTAGAGACGGCCTTGTTCATGGAACCTACTTTTTGAACAGGTCCCACCCTTTGTTGAATGATTACGAGTACCATAGTTGCACCTTAGAGACGACCTTGTTCATGGAACCTACTTTTTGAACAGGTCCGGCCCCTGTATCCAGGTTTGCATGGACAGGAGCCGTCGGTACTGTTACAGGGGCCGTCACATCCCTCCTTGCACGGTTCGCTGCAGTCCTTTCCGTAACGCCCGGCCTCACATTCTGAAACAGAGCAGATATACATCATATTACATGTAGGGAACACATTGTGCTAATTTTTCAGATTTTGTGAGATTTTATGCCAAGCGCCAGGCAGGGCAACAAGTAGTACCTCTTAGCGTCTTTTGGTATAAGGTGATTGAACATCAACCAGTCAGACGTTCTATACACATGGTTGAGTGAGTGAGTTTAGTTTTCCGCCGCTTCCAGAATGGTTGAGTGAGTGAGTTTAGTTTTTCGCCGCTTCTAGCAATATTCCAGCAATATCACGGCGGGACACACCATAAATGGGCTTCACAAATTGTACCGATGTGGGGAATTGAACCCCGTGTCCTCGTCGTGACGAGCGAACGCCTCTACCACTAGGCTACTCCACCGCCCCTATCCACATCCTAAGACGGGATCATTGCAACGTAGTGAATTAACTTTCCTAATACCCAGGACATTACAACGTACCTGAGAGGCCGACTACAACATGCATCTCTCCTGAACTAATGTTCACAAAATTGGGATCCCAAAATGTCAAAAGACGGTTAGCTTTTTCTGTCAGTGTAAAAACCATACTCACTCACTGTCAGTGTAAATGTGTATTGCTTGAAAACTCTCAGCCTCCTACTCTTTTTCCCATCTATCCTCCACCCAACGTGTGAAAATTCCTTCCATTTTAGATTTTTGTTAAATTAATAGTAATAAATTGTGAGGGAGAAGATCTACATCATTTTTTCTTTAACACCGCCCAAGATTCCGAATTGGAGTAGGGTTGACCGTTAAACCAGTGGTCGATTAAAAATATACATTAGGCGGCAAAACCCTCTCCAGGTTCACACGAAATCTCAGCATAGAGCCGAGACGATTGTATGATCCCAACTATATCATGAACATATGTTTTATGAATCACCGTATGAGTCATTAACACATGTCTATAAAACAGTGGGAATTGTACAATCGACATAGATATCTTATGAGTGAGTGAGTGAGTTGGGTTTTACGCCGCTCCTAGCAATACTCCATTAATATCACAGCGGGGTACACCAGAAATGGACTTCGCATATTGCACCCATGTGGGGAATCGAACCCGGGCCTTCGGCGTGACGAGCGAACGCTTCAGCCACTAGGCTACCTGACCGCCCCAGATATCTTATGAGAATAGAAAGGCTTTTGCAAAATTATTTACTGATCCATGTGTTTGATAGTTGTACTACCCCCTTCCCTTATAATAACGTTGGTTCAATATTTGAATATACGTTATTGTTTTTTCGAAATAATAAAGATACATTCGTTTATTTAACTCAGGACGTCTTTCAAGTCGTCGTGCACTGAGTAAGTGTAATGTCTAGGAGGGACAGTATATGCTAATGTCTTCAACAGAAATCCGGTCAGAGTTTGCGCTGGTGCATCCTTCTATTGAACATGAAGAAAACAAACGGACACTAACAAATTCATGAAGTTCCCTTACTGTTTTTCCATTAGTTCAATATGCTCAAGCAAGCCAAGTAAACACTGTTGACGATGTCAACTGTCTGACTGCAACAAGGTTGCTAGGCGGCAGAATCTCGTCTTTACATGAATGTCAATATTCTTCACATTGAAAGGTTTGTTGTTTAGTTGGGAGGAAGATGCAAGCCACGGTGTCAGCTGTTCGGTGAGACCCGACTCCGTTCTGTGTGTGGGACATTAGCTATGGGGAAATGTCAACGTGAGGTTATGTCAGAACGCAGTTGATAGAGTGAGGTTATGAGAGAGTTGTCAGTGCGAGGTTTTGTCAGTACGGGATAATGTCCCAGTAGAGAAATGTCGTTGTGGGGTCATGTAAAGGTGGAAAAATGTCAGTGTGGGGTCATGTAAAGGTGGAGAAATGTCATTGTGGGGTCATATCAGAGTGGAGAAATGTCAGTGTTGGGTCATGTAAAGGTGGAGAAATGTTAGTGTGGGGTCATATCAGAGTGGAGAAATGTCAGTGTGGGGTCATGTAAAGGTGGAGAAATGTCAGTGTGGGGTCATATCAAAGTGGAGAATATGTCAGTGTGGGGCCATGTAAAGGTGTAGAAATGTCAGTGTGGGGTCATATCAGAGTGGAGAAATGTCATTGTGGGATCATGTAAAGGTGTAGAAATGTCAGTGTGGGGCCATGTAAAGGTGGAGACATGTCACTGCGGGGTCATGTAAAGGTGGAGATATGTCAGTGTGGGGTCATGTAAAGGTGGAGAAATGTCAGTGTGGGGTCATGTAAAGGTGGAGAAATGTCAGTGTGGGGTCATGTAAAGGTGTAGAAATATCAGTGTGGGGTCATGTGAAGGTGGAGAAATGTCAGTGTGGGGTCATGTAAAGGTGTAGAAATATCAGTGTGGGGTCATGTGAAGGTGGAGAAATATCAGTGTGGGGTCATGTAAAGGTGTAGAAATATCAGTGTGGTGTCATGTAAAGGTGTAGAAATATCAGTGTGGGGTCATGTAAAGGTGTAGAAATATCAGGGTGGGGTCATGTAAAGGTGTAGAAATGTCAGTGTGGGGTCATGTAAAGGTGGAGAAATGTCAGTGTGGGGTCATGTAAAGGTGTAGAAATATCAGTGTGGGGTCATGTAAAGGTGGAGAATATGTCAGTGTGGGGTCATGTAAAGGTGGAGATATGTCAGTGTGGGGTCATGTAAAGGTGTAGAAATATCAGTGTGGGGTCATGTGAAGGTGGAGAAATGTCAGTGTGGGGTCATGGAAAGGTGTAGAAATATCAGTGTGGTGTCATGTAAAGGTGGAGATATGTCAGTGTGGGGTCATGTAAAGGTGTAGAAATATCAGTGTGGTGTCATGTAAAGGTGGAGATATGTCAGTGTGGGGTCATGTAAAGGTGTAGAAATATCAGTGTGGGGTCATGTAAAGGTGTAGAAATGTCAGTGTGGGGTCATGTAAAGGTGGAGAAATGTCAGTGTGGGGTCATGTAAAGGTGTAGAAATATCAGTGTGGGGTCATGTAAAGGTGGAGAAATGTCAGTGTGGGGTCATGTAAAGGTGGAGAAATGTCAGTGTGGGGTCATGTAAAGGTGTAGAAATGTCAGTGTGGGGTCATGTAAAGGTGTAGAAATGTCAGTGTGGGGTCATGTAAAGGTGGAGATATGTCAGTGTGGGGTCATGTAAAGGTGTAGAAATATCAGGGTGGTGTCATGTAAAGGTGGAGAAATGTCAGTGTGGGGTCATGTAAAGGTGGAGAAATATCAGTGTGGGGTCATGTAAAGGTGTAGAAATATCAGGGTGGGGTCATGTAAAGGTGGAGAAATATCAGTGTGGGGTCATGTAAAGGTGGAGAAATATCAGTGTGGGGTCATGTAAAGGTGGAGATATGTCAGTGTGGGGTCATGTAAAGGTGTAGAAATATCAGGGTGGTGTCATGTAAAGGTGGAGAAATGTCAGTGTGGGGTCATGTAAAGGTGTAGAAATGTCAGTGTGGGGTCATGTAAAGGTGTAGAAATGTCAGTGTGGGGTCATGTAAAGGTGGTAGAAATGTCAGTGTGGGGTCATGTAAAGGTGTAGAAATGTCAGTGTGGGGTCATGTAAAGGTGGTAGAAATGTCAGTGTGGGGTCATGTAAAGGTGTAGAAATGTCAGGTGTGGGGTCATGTAAAAAGGTGGAGAAATATCAGTGTGGGGTCATGTAAAGGTGGAGATATGTCAGTGTGGGGTCATGTAAAGGTGGAGATATGTCAGTGTGGGGTCATATAAAGGTGTAGAAATGTCAGTGTGGGGTCATGTAAAGGTGGAGATATGTCAGTGTGGGGTCATGTAAAGGTGTAGAAATATCAGAGGTGTGGGGTCGTGTAAAAGGTGTAGAAATGTCAGTGTGAGTTATCATGTAAAAGGTGGGAGATATGTCAGTGTGGGGTCATGTAAAGGTGGAGAAATATCAGTGTGGGGTCATGTAAAGGTGTAGAAATATCAGTGTGGGGTCATGTAAAGGTGGAGAAATGTCAGTGTGGGGTCATGTAAAGGTGGAGATATGTCAGTGTGGGGTCATGTAAAGGTGGAGATATGTCAGTGTGGGGTCATGTAAAGGTGTAGAAATATCAGTGTGGTGTCATGTAAAGGGTGGGATATGTCAGTGTGGGGTCATGTTAAAGGTGTAGAAATATCAGGGTGGGTGTCATGTAAAAGGTGGAGATATGTCAGTGTGGGGTCATGTAAAGGTGTAGAAATATCAGTGTGGGGTCATGTAAAGGTGGAGAGAAATATCAGGTGTGGGGTCATGTAAAAGGTGGAGAAATGGGGTCATGGAAAGGTGGAGAAATATCAGGTCGTCATGTAAAGGTGGAGATATGTCAGTGTGGGGTCATGTAAAAGGTGGAGAAATATCAGTGTGGGGTCATGTAAAGGTGGAGATATGTCAGTGTGGGGTCATATAAAGGTGGAGATATGTCAGTGTGGGGTCATGTAAAGGTGTAGAAATATCAGGGTGGTGTCATGTAAAGGTGGAGAAATGTCAGTGTGGGGTCATGTAAAGGTGTAGAAATGTCAGTGTGGGGTCATGTAAAGGTGGAGATATGTCAGTGTGGGGTCATGTAAAGGTGTAGAATATATCAGTGTGGTGGTGTGTAAAGGTGGAGAAATGTCAGTGTGGGGTCATGTAAAGGTGGAGAAATATCAGTGTGGGGTCATGTAAAGGTGTAGAAATGTCAGTGTGGGGTAATGTAATATGTCGAGGTGTGGGGCAAAGGTGTGATATGTCAGTGTGGGGTCATGTAAATGTGGAGAAATGTCAGTGTGGGGTCATGTAAAGGTGGAGATATGTCAGTGTGGGGTCATGTAAAGGTGGAGAAATATCAGTGTGGGGTCATGTAAAGGTGTAGAAATATCAGTGTGGGGTCATGTAAAGGTGTAGAAATGTCAGTGTGGGGTCATGTAAAGGTGTAGAAATATCAGTGTGGGGTCATGTAGAAAAAGGTGAGAAATATCAGGGTGGGTCGTCATGTAAAAGGTGGAGATATGTCAGTGTGGGGTCATGTAAAAGGTGTAGAAATATC